CCCGCCCCCCAAGAAAGAGCTCGGGGAGGAGGTGCCTGGCATTAAGGTTTGACAAGCCTTGCCTCTGCAGTGGTCTGGCTTTTCACTGGCCCAGCTCACCCTTGTACATAACATCCAGGCTTCAATTTCAACTCATCACCTTAAAAAATTGAGGCGATCGTTAAAAAGCCAGACAATCAAAACATCAAAGTGTGTGCTGGCGGCACAAAGTCATGGTGTTAGAGGCTCAGAAAAAAATGCATTGCACCTGTCAGAGAGAGGCAGAGGCATGTGCATGATTAAACAGGATATTAAAAACAAGCCCCTAGGAGTAAGAAGACATCCCTCAAGAAGTTCAAGTCACCCCCAGACAAGGGAAGTAGAAAACGAGACAAAACTCGGCAAGATAAACTTAACACAACAAAGCAAGTCAGGAAAGAAAAGACTCTGTGTTGCTAAAACCAGGAAAAATGACAAACTGATGTGTTCATCAGGAGCAGGATGCATGTCAGAGCAACTGCAGGGATAATAAACGATGGAGGAAGAGAGGAGGCTGCGTAGAAAAGAAATTAATTTTTCTTGACACCTGCATTCATTGTAGGAAGAGGATCAGGAAGTTTCCCCCTGCCAAGACCTTTCTTTTTCAGGACCAATCTCAGCCATTAGCATCCCTGCAGGTTTGGGACAGTACCCCAATGCGGCCCCAGCAGAGCAGCCACATCACTTGGGGGTGCCCCTATGATCAGCAGCGAAATCAGCTGTCACGTGCAACCTTATGCTCAAACCCACCTGGGAGGCAGCAAAAGCCATACTGTTGGGTTTTTTTACAAAGCTCTGTAGGCATTTGGGTAACTGCAGATAAGAAAATCAGACGTCTGCACCTGGCACGTCACAGTGTCTACCAGGAGCAGCGTTAGCGACGCATGGGCAGACATGGCACGCCATGGCGCAGCTGCCAGTTTGAAGAGAAAAAGTCACATCTCACAGATCCATCCCAGTTCCCCACAAGAGCAGCAGCACGTGAACGAGGCCAGCGCAACCCCAGAAGCCTGGGTGGCTTTCGACAAACCCCCCCACCTAATGCTCTTGGCAAAACCCTAAACCACCACAGCATAAGAACAAGGTCCTTAAAATATTAACAATGGGTTAAAAGAGAAGCAGCAATATTTGGCTTTCATAAGCAAGACTGCCAGCAGAGTCCAAGGGGGATTTACATGGGGGCTCTGCTGCTCAGTACACACAAAAAGGGCTTCACAACAAGGCAAACCTGAGATGACAAAGTGTGCCTGGGAGATTTAGCTGTTCAGGATAGCAAAAACGAGAGTGAAGAATCCAGAGGGACCTCCTGCCACTGAGCAGGAAGGAAATAAAATAGCAGAGGAAACGGAGCAGTGCTAAATGACAAAGCAAGGCACATGGGGAAAAAACCAAGCTCAACCTCAGTGGCAGGATCTGAATTAGCTGCTACCACACCTGTAAGGGACCTGGGTATTAAGAGTAGCAAGAAAACATTAACTAAATGCTCAGAGCAGTTTTCAAGAAGACCGTAAAAGCAGCCATCAAATGTTGGGAATTTGGAGGCAAAGAGGAGAGAACAAAAGAGAAGGTAATAACTCTGCCACTGAATAATCCCCTGGTGCAGCTCGACTGCTGCATGCAAAAAGGCATTGTGGAGCTGGAGAAGATGCAGAAGAGGCAAGGACAAACGTCTGGCGTCCAGCACAGGACAAGCGAATGAGACAGGAGGAGGTGGGGGGGTGGATGTCTGGCAGCGCCCGAAGGCAGCTGGCAGAGCCCTGCCAGGTCCAGGCAAGCTCTGAGGCATTGCAGCATACTGGCGCTGGCAGGGCAGGAAGGCAGGGTCACAGCAAGCACCAGCCATAGCCCCCCCAGACACGCCACTGTCATGCGAGACCCACCATTGGCATCTTCGTAGCTGGGCTGGCCATGCTGCAGAGGGACGGAGGCACTGGACTCACCGTCCAGGGGGCTTTCACCGCTGTCGAGCTGTCCCACCGGTGGTGGCCATGGCAGGTCTTTAATGACCTTGATTTCA